GAAAGCCACGGGGAGGGTGTGGGGTTCTGTCATATTACACAACCCATGGTTACCCATGTCACAACCAATATTTATCTATTACACAACCCATGGTTATCTACTTGACAATCAATATTACCCATTACACAACCCATGGTTACACACGTCACAACCAATATTTATCTATTACACAACCCATGGTTACCCATGTCAGAACCAATATTTACCTATTTCACAACACATGGTTACCCATGTCACAACCAATATTACCCATTACACAACCCATGGTTACACACGTCACAAATAATATTTACCCATGTCACAACACATGGTTACCCATGTCACAACCAATATTCACCCATTACACAACCCATGATTGTCCACTTGACAATCAATATTCACCCATTACACAACCCATGGTTACCCAAGTCACAAATAATATTTACCCATGTCACAACACATGGTTACCCATGTCACAACCAATATTCACCCATTACACAACCCATGATTGTCCACTTGACAATCAATATTCACCCATTACACAACCCATGGTTACCCAAGTCACAACCAATATTTACCCATCTCACAACACATGGTTACCCAATCTACAGCTTGTATTTCTGAACTAAAAGGTTGGTGGTAATTAATCACAGATATACAAAAAATACTTTATTTTTAAAGCAGCACTTCAACATAATTCATAGAAGCTTTTTGGGGTCTCAAAATTATTGTGTGAAAGATTTGATGGTTTGAATATGTGAATTTGTAATTCATAACAGACAGGGTTAGCAAATGAAACACACAAAGTACACGAGCTAAAAAACATGTCTTTTGATTCATATTTCACTGAAAACTGAAACTGAAAACTTAACACTACATGCTGGACGTCAGCAAGGTATCGATTTACGATAATTGAGAATTTATTAATTGACCTGCCCTGACCTAACTCAGTGACCTAACCAACTTGCCCTGAATAAGTAAATTTTGTTTGCAATTGTGAGAGAGAATTTATAATATATTATTTTCCTCAGTGATTTTTATTTGACCTACATTCAATACAGACAGACCAATATTTCTTTTAACAAATTCAAGGACAAATGCAAACAAGCTAGTGACAGGCACAGAGATGTCTGGTAACATTTTTCATCCTAAATTTGATAACAGCTGGAGACATTTCAAGGTGACATATTTCAAAATTCACCTCATAACAAAGATTCTTCTCAGACACAAATCGTGA